GCTAATTTTTTTGTATTTTTAGTAGAGATGGGGTTTCGCCATGTTGGCCAGGCTGGTCTCAAACTCCTGACTTCAAGTGATCCACCTGCCTCAGCCTCCCTAAGTGTTAGGATTACAGGCGTGAGCCACCACGCCCAGCCTGTTTTCTTTTTTATACGATCCTTGTTAGATACTACTACTTACAGCATGGACAGATTAAGTTCACACTGCAGGAAAAAGTCTATGGAAGACAGAGCTGGACACCAAGCAACAGGTTAAGACACAGGGTGCAGAATCAATGTTCTGAGACAGGTGATCAACTGTCAAGACATCCCAACAAATGCTAGGACCCTGTAATGTAACCGCTAAAATGTTAGCTGCTCAAGTAGCACAAGGGAGTATTCAGAATGAGCGCTAAACAAAAGCATTAAACAATAGTCTAAGAAAAAGTAGTAAGATGTTGGTAGCAAAAGTAGAAAAGATATAAATCAAGGCTGGGCGCAGTGGCTCACACCTGTAATCCCAGCACTTTGGGGGACTGAGGCAGGAGGATCACCTGAGGTCAGGAGTTCGAGACCAGCCTAACATGGTGAAACTTGTCTCTACTAAAAATACAAAAATTAGCCAGGCGTGGTGATGTGCGCCTGTAATCCCGGCTACTCGGGAGGCTGAGGCAGGAGAATCACTTGAATCCAGGAGGCGGAGGTTGCAGTCAGCCGAGATCATGCCATTGCACTCCAGCCTGGGCAACAAGAGCGAAATTCCGCCTCAAAAAAAAAAAAAAAGAAAGAAAAAGAAAGAAAGAAAGCATACAAATCAATAATCATTTTAAGTCATCTTCTCGGAACACTCACCCAAGTTTCTAGACAACCAACAGACCCATGCCATGGGGGAAAAAGCCATCTTAAAAATCATGTTTATGAAAATATTTTTATGACTGAAAGGTACTCACACTAAAAATGTAAAGAAAATAAGCAGTATACATGATGATATGGACGGTATGGTTTGAAATCTGTAAACCAAAGGCACAGAAGGAAGGAAAGACATTAAAAATGTGAAAAGATGGATTTGGGTGATTCTCCTCTTTCCATTTCTGCATGAATTGGGTAGGTCTCTGCAGCGAGGACGTGAAGATGGATGTGGGTGATGCTCCTGTCTCCATTTCTGTGTGAACTGTGTAGGTCTCTGCAATGAGGACATGTTATGGGCTCTGGGCACTGCAATCCCAGTCTAACTGCTTCTCAGTTACAGGGCCTCACCCAAGTCACTTAGTCTGTGGCGTCCTTGCTGCTGCTGCTGCTTTTTTTTTTTTTTTGAGACGGAGTCTCGCTCTGTTGCCCAGGCTGGAGTGCAGTGGTGCGATCTTGGCTCACTGCAAGCTCCGCCTCCCGGGTTCA